TTGGGGGGGGGGGAGAAAATGCTGGGTTTTGGGGTTGGGGAAGAAGACATGGGTTATATTTGTTTTCTTTAATTTAAAGGAAATAGTTAAAAAAGGGAAAAATTCAAAAAAAAACTTAATTTCAGGAGAATTTTTTAGTTTTCACGCGTCTCTTTTATGTGTAATACACGTGTGTGATACATGGCAAAAGAGGTGTGTAATTGACACACTTTTAAAAGTTTTGGTGTGTAATACTATTTCCGTATTTAACAAGTGTGTAAGAGGGATTTGAGTACAAGGTCAATGGGTAAAGAATTTATTTTGCCTTTTAAATTTAGAAATAATTCAACTTTAAACTCTTTCATTTTACTCATTCACCCTTAATGAGAAACTTTTATAGCCACACAAATGTCATGACCCCACAAACTTTTTACCCCTTATGCTTTTAAGACCACAAATTTTAAAAGTCTTCTTCTTTTTTCTTAAATTCCGTGCCGAGTCAAACTACCTCATCTAATATGAAACGGAGGGAGTAGTATCCAACATGTTATTAAAGAAGCAAAAACCCATGCAACATGCAGATAAAATGCTTGGACAAACTTAGGGGTCGTTTGGTAATGTGCATAAAAATAATGCTGAATAGAGTGTATTAGTAATGCAGATATTACTTATGCTGGCATTAGTTATGTTAACATATTTCTTATCCACTGTTTGGTTTGATGTATTAAAGCATTGCAGAATTTCTAACGGAAATGTTTATTTACAACATTACTCTCATAACTAGTCCATCACTTTATCTTTTTAAAAGAAATATATGTTGAGCAATGTTTTTATATGAAAAAGATATTAAAAATTTATTGGATCTGTCTACCTGTATTATGGTATAGAACTGAATATTTATTTATATAAAAGAAAATATGCTAAGTATTTATTTATTTACTAGGGATATAATTTTATTTTCAACTTTCTTGGATTATTTCAAACTTGCATTAATATAATAACATATTTTAATCAAGCATAAATTTTGAAGGACAATTTTTTCTTTACTAAGCTAATGCATGCATTAAAACCCATTGTATTGTTAATACCATAATTTACTATGCATTAGTTATGCATAGGATAATACCAAATAGGGTGCATAACTAATGCTTGCATACCTAATGCATAGGTTCAAAAGGTGTACCAAACAAGGTATTATTAATACACAAAGCTAATGCATGCATTATTTTATTATTACTAGGTATTATTAATACCATGGCTTCTATGCATTAGTTTCACTCTCTTTTTCTAACCCCCTTCGTTTAACTCTATTTGGCTTAATTAGGAGTACGGGTCAAAGTTCTTAATTTTGATTATCAAATTAAATATAATTTTTTGAGCTTTTTAAAATAAAATTTATATATTTAGAAATTACTTATAAAGTACTATGAATCGTAATAATTTATGTTTCAAAATATTTAAAAATTCGTGGTCAAAGATAAACTTCGTAAACTCTCCAAATAGTAATGTGGATACATAAATTGAAATAAAGGGAATAATAATTAAATAAATAAGTTCATGGAGTAAGTGAAGCACTTTATTATGCGCTGCTCAAAATCTCAAATATACAACGAGTAACTGTTCTTCCACTACATTTAAAATCATTAGATGCATTAATAAACTTCAATTTTTCTAAAACTTGTTTAATAAAATCATAGCCGTAATAAAATTAGAAGTGCAAAAATGAAAAAGGCATTATATAATGGGAAAGGTCTGAACTCTGACGTCACCACAAGGTCCACAATAAACCTAGACCAATTAGTGAAACTTAACAAATGGTTCGACTAATCTCATTTCCCAAAGCTAGAAAAAGATTCCAAACAGCCCTATGAGTATTTAATTTTGCAAGCAAATGGAGTAGAAGGTAAAAGAAAAAAATGATCTCTTATTACTCAATTAACAAATTACAAGTAAAACAAGTACCAGATAATTTTAAATACAATAAATAAATTATGCGTCGGTATATTTATTAGTGCTAGTTACTATTGAGCCGCAAGCAACTATGGATGAATAATTATAGTAGGGGCATATGATATTTCATTAATTCATCTTTACTGAAGTACTGTAAGTTATTATTGCCCATTATGGCCATTACTCCGTTTACCTCTAAAGTAGACTATCAATTTACATGGTCTATAGATAATTTACGGATGGTCGTGGTTCAATGTGCATCCGTTGCTTTCTGTCTAAATTATATACTACTCCCCCGTTTTATATTAGATGAGATACTTTTC